ATATTTCATAGGATACCCTAATCTTGTTTAAAAGAATTGTATGCAGAAATTTCCTTGGTCTATGGAGTTTCTAGCTTAAAATAATATTGTATACTTTAAATGTCACGTTCTGATTAGTTCAACGGACACTCGATGCAGTGACTAGGTTCACTTAAACCAGCGAGACATAGTGACGATAAGGCATGCTCCGAGTGATGTGTGAGTTGAGAGGTAACCACTCATTGAATAGTTGTACAAGAGATGTAACCAAACTGACTGTGGAGGAGTCACCACAAGGACATATATACTAAATGGGGAAGAGAACGTTGAAACCAGATTACTCATTGATTAAAGGCTATCATGCCCCTTGCCTCTGGAAGAATTGTTCTAACTAGTCACCTTATTCATGCCTTTATGTCTCACAGTTGCACACGTTTTTTGATATTTTAGCCTTTCTGGTCTGATGCGATGCTCGCGTTTGCACAATTGTCCAAGTTGAAAACGGAGATTGAAAGGGGAAAGTGGAACCTATCATTAACTCACTCAAGCAAAAAAGAGCCAGCTTTGATAGTCTTCGCATCTGATTTCTCACAGTGGTAAAATCTAGCCACTAAGAACGGTGCTCATACTGTAGTATAGAAAAAATTTCGTATTCAACTGTAAATGGTTTTAAAAGGCAAATAAACGGAATATTAATATTCACTTTCGGCATACCAATATGATCACCTCACTGGCATAAATTGCCTCCTGGTGGATTTACAAATAGCAGGAAGCAGCCGCGCTTCACGGCGGACAAAATTATAGAAAGAAACATTAATTCGTACATAAAAGGTAAACATGCGCACAGTGACATTTACATAGAAACTTAATTAGCGTTTTTAGGGGGTAATGCCAAAAGGTCGAAGTGTGGACATTAGCGAGGAAATTTTTGACAAAAACCTTGGTGAGGCTTTAACAAGCAGGTAAATTCTTTTGCTTCACCACAATCAGCCAAATAAGCGCAATAACAATCAATGCAATTATAAAACACCAAAAATAAACAAGATGAATTCTGGTAATCACTTGAGAAAAAAGCAAGAAAGAGAACTCACAATTTCCCTTCTGCAACGACCATCTTAAAGCAACTTGTGCGGTAGATTTCCCAACTTCCTTTGAAATGGCGAGGAGTGTCTTGCAAGTAAGAAGGTCTGTATGGCCACTCGTGAGGGGGCTGTAAGCCATAAAGTAAACGGACGTATCAGATTCTGGCAGGTCGTGGCTAGAAGAATCATAGATCCTTTCCGAAGATGAAATGGGGAAACAATCCGCAAGGGTCTTTCTTATTTCTGACATCCATTGTTCCCCCAAATAGGGATGATATTCACTCTAAAAATGAAAATTTAAATTTAATTTTAAAATGCGCTATGATAGTATAATAATTTAGCTTTATCCATAGTATTTTACAGCTAAAGGGAAATAAATTTGGCATGATCAGAATCACCTGCAGCGCAAATGGCCGGATGGTTGAATATGAAGCTAATTCCTTTATGTGCTTGCTAGTGTAGTTAGAAATTCCAATATATCGCAAAGGGCGATAGTTCCCACTTCCAATGACATGTGAACTTGATTCAGATCTATCCAACATCGAAACGTCCTCACAGACCAATTGTTCCAATGCCTGCCAGCTTTGCCTCCTGATGTCGGCAATGGCGCCTGAGCCATCGTGAGAACTAAAAGTATCAGGGAATATAAACGAATATTACAATAATCCAGGCCAATGGATCAAATACAAATCAATGTAGGGTGTTTGTAAAGCTCCGAGTGATTTATATGCAGCAGAGGGTGCCTTCCCAGAACCATGGTCACAGGGATGAAGTTTCGTGGTTACAAAAATATCTTTTCTATACAAGCCATAGTCCTTAAGATGAGACTTGAGAAATTCGCCTATCTTTTTTTCATTACTGTACATTGAAGCAGTATCTTAAATATTAATATGACTGAGTATGTTATATACCTATTCCACGGTAGCCAGCTTTGACAACCGCTCCGAGGCATTCGTCCATTTCTTTGTGCACCAAATAAGTTCCATCTAGGTATTATTAACCTCTGAATGGCTTACAAAATAATTTTGGCATGGACGCCATCCCACCAAAAAAAAGCACGCGCGGAAGTTGATGGAATAGCAAAATTGGCGTCGGAAACGGTGAATGACTTAGTTCAACACGGATAATAAAAGCGAGCCCTCTTTTGAAATTATGGAATTAGTCGACTAGCTGCATTATCAAATAAAAAGTAATAGTAATTTTAATTTAAAATAAATTGATTAATGATTCGTTTTACACTCAAGCTGTAAGCTCATGAGATTGAGAATTGGTTTACTTAAATTAAAATGATGATTTCATAGCTCTTTAGTTAGCTCTTCTCATTTTTTCACAAATAATTTAACTATCGATAACTTAATCGAAGATATGAAAGAGTGCTGTTTTGTATGGTCGCAGTCTCCTTTCGTTGTATAGGGGTTGTTTGAACTTGTTTTCGCAACTTGATAGGAAGACCTAGAGGGATGCATATAGTCCGGAGTCCATAGCAAGAATGCTAATTTCCAGAGTCGGACAGCAGATGTAGTACATTCTCAGACGTTTGGCCGGCATCGTCCGTGAACTTCGCCATTCTTAGCCGCACACCACAATTCGTCAAAGAGACAAGTGTCTGCTTGAAAATTATG